ATGGCTTCTTCAGAGCCTGAAAGGATCGAAGCAATTTATGACTACCCGACCAAACGTCTCCACTACCCTACTGAAGTTCGAGTACATTACAGGCCATAACCTAATCGTAAGAGGGGGCACTCACCGCAACACAGTCCGATCTTCGAGACCAGCAAGCAGGCAACAGGACCTCTTCAGGATAGCTTACAATCAACAAAATGCCGAGGTTCATGGAGAGCCGTACATGGCATTTTTCTCAGAATCTCTTCATAACCGAAGTGCAGTAATTCCGAAACGACTACTCCTTGGGTTGAGATCCTTTGAGCTGTCAGGTCTTACCAAGATATATCTGTTCTACTGAGAAGGAGGGGCATATAAACATCGAACTAGTGGCCTCATGGGTTCCCATCCATCATAGCTACAACTCCATCTCATATGCGTGCTTGACTGACATATAAGAACACTGTGCCACTGTTCTACTATCTATATCGCATAAAAACCCGCAGGTGCGACACATAGATACCTTATCGCAGTGCTGTTTTCATGCACACGCAAATATGAACCAAAAAAGGAATCATTCAGTGACCTTTCGAGATACAGTACAACCTAGCTTTGAAAAGTGAATTGTTAATGTAGACAAAGAAATTAAAGGCAAAGTCCGCGATCATTCGCCATCACAGATAGTGGATTAGGGGTTTGCATATAGACGACAAGGTTCTGAATAATTGATAGTGAAAAAAAACAGAAAAAATGCCAACTGCCCTAGATAGAAACCCATTTGGATCCCAGTTTGTACGTGCCCAGTGAACTCCATCTCCAACCCTACGCCCTCATCCGCACAGCTCAGGCGCTGTTTGTCGACGGGGGGGGGCATTTTGTATTATCATTGCTTCCTAGTTCCGGCTTACAAATCTCACTCTGGTAAAACTTGTGCACTCTTGTGAAGCTGAAGTAAGATCGTCTAGCCACTATCCTAAAACGTGTCAACTCGAGAAACGGCTGCCTAGATGGGTCGACACATCTATGGAAAGCAAAATGCCCCCCCGTCGACAAACTGCGCCCACAGCTCATTCCCCGATAAGAACTCTACGACCGTACAAGTGACGATTTTCATGCTTTTTCGTCCTGCAGCTTCGTTTTTCACTGAAAGGCGGGCCTTGAAGGCGGAGTCTGGAGGCGGAGTCACTGGAAAAAGGAGGCGTCACTGAACCTATATTGCGCTATAGCGCTCCCTTACAATTTTTTGCCGCGAAACCGGTACAAGGTTGTTCGTCGCGGACCACACTACCCTACCGATGCCATTTTCAGCTCCTGTACTTGATCGCGGACCGTGCCTTTAAGCGGGTACCATAGAAAAGAGCACCTGCTCACCTATTTATGCAGGCCTTCACTTATTCGTGTGAACACCAACAGAGAGCCATTCGCTTTTGCTTCCAGTGACCATCATTCGCTGTCGACTCAAAAGATGACGGAAATTACAGCTGTGATCTGTGCGAGTGATAAGGCACGTGACACGAGGCGTACTGGAGCGTAGATAGGCTGCCCCTTTTCCACCAATGATGCTATCCTGAGCCCGCTACAATTGGTGGGAATTATAATCTGACAGCGCTCCATTCCATGTCCTCATGACTATGCACTACAGAATTTCGTTCATCGTCCTCACGCGTAGACGCTCTACGCGACTGACAAGTGCATTCCGCGCCCTAAACAGATCTACTCGCAGCGAGGGAATGCTACAGAACACCAAAAACCGCTAACCCAAATGGCCAGTTCGATGAATTCCAATGTGAGCAGAGTTCTCAGTTCATCTCAATCGAATTGTCGAACAAACTGGTCCTTACCCATCAATTACCTTCCAAATTTCCAGCGGATTTTAGATAAAAATGCTGTTGCTCCAAGTTGTTCCGCAACGTCACTTTTCACAATCTGTCCTGATGGCTTCTTCTCGAAATCCGGCCCAACACATCCTCTTGAAACAAATCCGTGCCACAGCAGCAGGCGCCAAAACACTCCAATCCACCAATATAGCGAAAAATGTCCATAAAGGAGTAATTTGATCCCTGAACACATTTGTCGCATCTCTATGGGTGCCATGAGAGTGTGACTTTCTGGTAGTCTGTACGGTTTCGTCAAGAAAGTGAACCCTCGCCTGCTAAGGCTGAAACCTAGCGAAAGGTAGGTTCACCGTCGCAGGTAGTCAGAAGGGTGGTTCCTTGACCGTGAATTTGGGCACTCTGCTAGGCACGAAGTCACCTGAAGCCTGAACTATACATACCGTGGTTTAAAATGGCATGGGACGCCGTTTCGTGTGACGGTGTCAAGCTGTGGGTGTGTTAGGCGGTATCCTGGCAAAACGGTGTGGCCATTCGTATTCAGGGTGAAGCAGTAAAGCAGTAAAGGTTGAATATGTACTGACAGGAACTCTATTACACCTCTTGGCTACTCGTGAACTCTGCCTTCGGAACAGAATTCCGGTTATCATTGAATGGACTGTGGCGACCGAACTACGAAAAAATGCCAGAATTAGAAAGGATAATCGTCTGAGCAGTAATGATTTTGGACTAGTTAAATCCTTAGAGGATATAAAATGATGTGGTTTCGATTATGCTGTGTTTGTTCGCTTCATCTCATAATGCGCAAATAGTCATTGTTGCAGGGAGACTGAGCAGAAGCGCTATCTCAAGTGGAGTGAGGACGGAACAAAAATCTTCTATGAAAACTATAAGACGTACGTGATCAGCGACGAGTACACATGCCCGGAATGCTCATGGGATGACACAGTAACGATCCCGAATACAAGTGGAGTTGTAAGTGCCGAGTCTCACGATTTCAATGAAATCCAAATTGCTGAAACTGTACGAGAAACACGGAAAATGTTACTCCCGTATGAGTTAGTCAGTTACTATGAAGTGTGTTACGATTTCTCGACTCTCACGGCCCCAGTGCGGAGATTATTGACAACGGTCTCTTCACTGATATTCTTTAAAGGGACCATTTAGTTGGTGGGTCTATAGGAAGCCAAATTTAGAGTGCAAAATCCTTCAGCAGGCGGCTTTCTCATGCTTGGTTTGATGGCTTGCCCTGGAAGAAGGTATCTCTCGCATATCGATATGAAGCGTTACCATTGTTCCACGATGGCACTTATTAGAAGACAGTTCTCGCGATCAATTGGTCCGCGAAATGCCTCCGTGCGTTTGGCATTGTTGTCCGCATTCGCAGAGAATCTACCACTTTCGTCGCTCGAAACGACGAGATAAGTAAGCTGGAGACGCGTATAGCAAATATTGCAACCACGATTACTTCCACTCTGCAAGGCAACGGCTTACAAACGGAATTGCTTGGGTAAATAGTGCCCACACAATTCCGTTTGTACATAGTATGGTACATAGTGTAGTGTTACCTGGAGCGTCGTAAGGCATTTCTTATGCTATCGCTGGGAACTGGTTGCACGTCGAATCCTGCTGATTGGGCTTGTCTGGCGTCCCACTAACGCATCCAAGGCGCCTCACTGCTAAGGAGATCTCCGTTCAGGGTGTTCCCCAGGTTTTTTTCGCTTCTTTCTCTACCGGGAGTTACTTATGGGCTACTGGTTCATGACTGAGCACCTACTAACCGTAACACTTGATCGCGGGAATTCCTTTGAGTGCCGCGCATGAGAGTGCCGATGCATTTGCCCTTCTGGATCTTCAACTTTCATGATATTTTCGCGTGTATTCAGAAACCATGTCAATCAGGGCACTTCATGCCATTGGGCAAAATCTATGGCAAAAATGAAACGTTTTTCTCAGAAGCAAATACAACCCTTTTCCGTCCACCGACCGAATACGGCTCCCCCCTCCGTTCTCTTGCAGGGGATTCCCAACGTACGACGTGCCTTGATGTCAAATCACTGATGAGATTTCACTAGAGAACATGTAAGAATGCGTATGGGTTCAGATAAAATACCAGTGCTGTTTCAGGGAGCCGCTGCAGATCTCCTCGATCCTCAGTATAATCTCACCAAAGTGGCGCAGAAGCTACTTGGATTTGGACTGTTACTACTTGGCGAATATCCCTTCATGTACGGGAGTCTTTTCTTATACCTTCATAACGGTTGATGCATGTGTTGAACTTTGAAATAATCAAGCTAAGGCAAAGAAATTTGTTCAGCTGAGAAGCTCAGATTTTTCAGATCACATACCGTTAAAGAGATACTTTTTGATGGTTACAACGATGCGCTATTGGACGTCGGTCATTCACAGGTGTTTGAACTGTTTACTATACTATTTACTACTATTACACTCCAGCTTTCCCGAGTCAAGTGTTCTGCGGTTTCTGCTACATCAACATTTACTCTGCTACGCAGAATGCGTTGCTTCGCTCTTTAGTCCCATGTTTTTTTGAAAAAGGGTTTGCGGTTCTGCCTACATCTTACTCTATCCCATAGAGAATGAGTAGATACTGAATTCAAAAATCATAAAATTAAAGTTGAAATACGTATAAAATAAGTTGAATAACAGTGTTGCTTTAGGAACAAATTGTAGAGCGCATGAGAAGAGAACCTACTATTGTTCTCGCATTATAGTGATGCAGGCGACTTAGGCTGTAAAGTGAGAAAAAGGGATTAAGGCGTTCTAGCTAGTATTCGGCGCTTTGGCTGGCATTTAGCTTCATGCGGGTTTGGACCAAGCAGTGAAAGCCAAGGCGCGGAATCTCAGGACTCTATTGGATGAACCTTTACTTATTTTAACTCGTTTTGAATGATTTTGCATGACGTACTCCTTTAAGATTGTCTACGTCCTCAGTGGCATTCTCAACGGAGGAAAGAGCATCATCCCAATTCCGATCCCGGACATGCCACGGTTGGGATTCTTCCAAGGCGTACGGTGTCGATTTTAGTTCTTGCCTCTGGGCTTTTTCTACTTCTTCCTTGACCGATTCAATGTGGCGAACTTCAGTACAATAACAGTCGGGATGAATCGTATTGGGTCGAGTCCGGAAAAGATGATATCAATCGTCTTGGCGAAATAGTCACATGGGCAAACCAAACCATTCTACCGCAGTCGTGGTGGCCAACTGCGTACGCGAGAAGCATTCGAGGCTCCGGTGAGTTAGTTTCCATCCGCATGAGATTTGCTTTGGTTGATTTGACGGAAATGGCAATTCATAAGGAGTTGCCGGTGTGCTCGTACACCTCATCCTTTTCATTTATTTCCACTTATCAGAAGCAATTCTAATCCAATCCGCCCTCGTTTATCTTACAAACCTTCGACCCAGAGTACAGCATCGCGATGTGTGAAAGTACTACCTTCCCCTCGAATCCTTCCACTTTTTCAAAAAGTTTTCCCAAAAAGCTGCGCGAGAGTAGGGTGTGTAGCGAACATGGAACCAGAAGAAAAGAGAACAGTTAACGACCGGAAAGGTTTCCTTGGGTCATTGGAAAGTTTCTTCACGGATACGAGTGCGACCCCTCCTCAGCAATCAACGATCTCCTCGTTTTCCCAACGCTGCTCCACCCTGCTTAATTTCTAAGAGTTTAGACTTTCAAATGAATAGAGACCATTTTTTTGTGAATCGGTACAGTTTTTGTGAACGTCGAAGTCTAAGGCGAGTTCGGAGATGATTTTCTTTGCTCCTCCAGTCTAGGAAGGAAGTGGAAGTACTGTGCTTATCACAAGTATAGACGCACTTAAAGAATCCGGAATCTTTATTATGAAAACAAACGTTTGACAGCGTTTTAATAATTAATTGGTCCCTTTTTCGAAAACGATCTCAAAAATGGCATCGACTCCGACAGTTTGATCGGCAGCTGTAGATTCCAACGATCCTATGCCTGGTCGGCGACATTCGGGAAAGTCCGAAGGAAATATCCCTGGCGAGAGTACCTCATATATCCTCACTGGGGTTTTCAACCGAAAACAAGCGGGCCAGTCCATAGCGACTATAGGTTACTCGAACCATGCCGTAATATATACTCGGCATCCGTGAGATCGGTAGGCGTGGCTGCATGCTTCGGCTTAAACTACAAGTACAAGGAGTCTATGCTTCTGGTGAGATATTTTCATCTTGACACAATTGTTGTCGTGTCTCTGTCCAACACAGAACAAGATGACAGTTGTCCCAGACTGGAATATTCCACGAGTAACCAGTTCCGTGCCATGTTCAAATGCCACGCCTACTCTGGCTCAGGGATAAGGAGTGTACCTGCTCACATGGATAGCCGCATTGTCCTGTAGAAAGGCAAACTCTCCTCCACGGCGACTGGCAAGAAATGGCAACAGGCGACGTCGAGCATGTTCTGGGAATCTGCTGAAATCATTTCTGTGGAAATGAAGGTCATATCGAGCTTGCTGCTCTGATGAAATAATCCCCAAGCCATGACACTGCCTGCACCAATATTACGCTTGCTGGGGAATTTCTGCTCCTTGCGAAGATCCTTCCAGTAGTATGCGTCTAGTTTCCCTTTTCATTTCTTTTTGCCACCAGCAGGCCCAAGCCTCGTCGAACGAAAGAACGGATGCTCTACATATGTTCATTTTGGGAACCGCATTCGCTAAACGATGTTGGAGCTGATCGTTCGTCCGCTAACCAGTGAGGCGTTATCTTGCGTACTGAGCTTCGGCGGCCCTACCAGATCTTCTCTTGCCTCCATAGGATTCCGGCGCACGCAGATACCGACTGACAACAAAGGCGAACGGAGCAGCTGGCGAGCGATCTCACGATTGCTCAGACCTGCTGTGTGCAGGGCGCTAATCTGAGCCTGCTCTTCGTCGGATAGATGAGATCCTCGTGGCATTTGGTGTATGGTGCAGGATAGTTACTGTTAGCTATCGCCACCGGAAAACGACAACTCTTCAAAAAACAAAAAATTGTTTCGTTAAGCCTCCAAAGTGTGTCTATGCTTATAGTGCATCCCAAATGGAAATTGGTGGGAACCCCGGCTTTTTTCGCATAGCATGAAAATCCTGTTGATCAAAATTCCGATAAATGCTGAATCTGATGACAAGTAGTCTTCTTTCTATGTGCTTCTAACCATAAGAGGCCCCTTTATGGTACCTCCAGATGTGTATCTATACTATGATACGCACTTTAGTGGCAAGTGGGACTTGCGAGGGGGGTCTCGTGGAAGTGAGTTTTGAAGCAGATTCCTCCCACGCTAATTGAGCCATCCATCCCTTCAGAGTAAATAATTTGGTGCAAGACTTTTAGAAGATGCGACGTATTGTACATTGGCTAACGCTAGCAAGTGGTTGTATGTATGTAGGCCATAGCAGAGTCACAAACTCACCAGAATTCGCAATGGAAGTTGAACGCGTGTTGCATCCCGAAAAGACCCAAAGTCGAGTGACTGAATCGCTTAAATCGCGAG